CACTTCCACCGCTTCTTCCTGATTTCCTCCTCTACTGGAATCTGGTTTGTTCTCTTTCACAATAAATTGTTGCTGATAGTGTTTGTCCAACGAATGCTCAGTATTTTGCGTAGACAACTGTTCATATTTTTAAAGACATCAAAACACACTGACTGTTTAAAGTAATGTCAGAAATTTCTTAGTCTATCAAAATTTAGGGATATGAGAATCTGTCTTTCAAGCGTTACTCATGTATTCTAGGATAACCGAGTAAGCAGTGCTTTTGTTAGGAAACGAGTACTACGTGGAAATGGCAGATCAACAGATGAAGTATTGAAACCCAATCAGTTGAGTTGGTTGGGATATTTGTTATGTACTTCCAAACACCGACTAACTGGACGAGCGATGTTGTGTGGCATAGCAGGAGGTTGGAAGAAAGCTAGGGCTGGCCAGACTAAAACATAGAAGAAATCCATGTAGTCACTGACAAGTGGACTAAATTATGCTGATAGACGTGGACAACGTGGTTAGCGTTCGCGAGAAGATTGTAATCGACCCTGAACGACATGGCTCAAAATTCTTTGCAGTGACATCTGTCCATCCAAACTTAGTATTCTCTCTAATTCTGATCTGCCGAATTTCTTATCACTTTCATCTCTCTTCGAACTCTTATCTCTCCAATTACAGCTGGTAATTCAACTATCTCTACTAATATAGAATTTGAATTGACAGTTGCTTTTCTGTGTGCTAATGTGTTATGTAAACTTGAATTGATGTATGTACGTAAGTACATGCGAAGTTTAACGCTGTAACTGACTAACTGACTGACTGACTGACTGAGGTGTACTCAATATAAAATAAACTTGTATATTACTCGACAAAACATTATAATACCCTATTCTCTAAAATCAAACTTCATTATTCTTCAGATTGGACACATTGATCAATACGTAGGCATTCATTTTTTTTTTTTTAAATTTATCACAAATTATTAGACTGTCATTATTTCAAATTAAAATTGCTGAATTATATTGATGTGTACTTTCAGTGTTATTTTTTTTTTGTTTTATTAGACAGCTGAATGAATGAATATTCAATTTTATTAAGACATTTCTCTCTTGTATGTGTTTTTATTCAATTAGTCAAACATTACTTATATAAATCCATAAAAAATGATTGATATTTAATTAAATTGTAGAAGGAATACGTTTACACACCAAGAAAAAATGTTTATGGAATATAAAAGTCATTGAACTAATATGAAGATCTTAATTTGAAAATAATGAATCAATCAATATTGATTCACCCTTAGGCACCTTTTTTACACTGGACTAACATTTTTTCCAAGTATGAAACTCATCGGCGTTTCTTATCAACAGTATGTGTTCATGGGAATCGATGTGAGGACCTTCAGTCTAACACGTCTTAATTCTTGGTGTCATAATTAGAAGTCATAACGTGTGTGGGGGTTATTGACTGAATAAGTCACATAACATTGTGAAATATTGCAAGTTAGATATTAACGCCGTTAGATGTTCACTCATTGTGCTTGATATTCTGCGCTGAAATTAAAGTTTCCAGTTTAGTGTATACTGTTCACAACATGAGTTCTATGTAGTATGAAGTAGATTATCATCCAGAAGTTGTTAATTGAGAGAAATATGTTAGATTTAAGTGTATAGCGCGACTGAAGTGTTTTGAAGATCAAAAAGTCATGTGGAAGAAGACAGACTATAATCTGCTTGCCTTAAAGATTAGTGTACACATTTTCGTTAGCAAACTTTATCTTGAATTCTTCATTTAAAAATATTGAGTTCTATCCTGTTGCATGGTTGTGCATGTGTACTACTGAAGAATCTTACCATAGCGTGAATTGGCTGTCCAGTGCTTCCAATTTTCAGTGGTAGACGAAAATTTTCTTGTAACGCATTTAGGTGATTTCTTTAATGTTTTTCTTGTTCACTTTCACCACGTCTTCCTGATTCATTCCTCCGCTAGAATCTGGTTTGTTCTCTTCCACAGTAGAGTGTTGCTGATGATGCCTGATCAACGAATCCAAAGTATTTTGCGTTAACAACTGTTAATGAATACTCGTATCTTCCGGATAATGGCTTTCGTAGTTCTCAAAATTTTTATCCCATACAGTAGAACTGTCTTGACATTTGTATTGGGAAATTCAGATTTTGGTATTTATTGACAGTTGTTTTGAGTTCTACATGTTGTTCAATTGTAAAAATGCAGCGTTTTTCTTAGTTAACTGTCAGCGTCCACTTATGTTCAATTATACAATCAATTTATTTATTTGGTTTCATTGTTATACATTAAAAAAGATATATATTTTATACGTTTTGAATTCGGTTAAATGGTTCAATGATTTTTAATAACTTTGTATTTTTACTGTGTATCTCATTCAATGAACAGTGAATTTCCCGGTATACACATTTTTCAACTGTACATTTAAAGTCTAGATAACTGAAATAAACCAATTAAGAGCCGGTAAATTAAAGATCTTATCAGTTTACAACTTGTAATTGGAAATAAATATAGATATATTCTTATTATTGTTGAAGCCAAATCACTGTGTTTCAATCAAATTTGAATTAGATTTTTATTATGTAACCGTAGTTTGCTCAGGTTGATATAATCTGACAAATATCATTAGCAGAGATGACTAGTAGAGAGACACAGAGAGAGCAGTGGAATCGGGTGCGTACTGTAAGATTTAATTTGTTCTACAGGTGAACTTCTAGAACTGTATACGTAATATTGACGAGCACAGAGTCTATGGGAAAGCTATAGTCAGAACAAGATCAACCTTTGCTTTAAACTTTATCTGTTTCTAAACATAAGAACAATTCGATTAGTACAATAAATAAGGTAATTACAATTATCAAGTAAAACGAGCATACATACCGACTAATATTGCGTGTTTTATGGAAATGAATCAAGTTATGAGTCACATCAATAATAATAAGATAATAATGTCCTTCAATTAGTAGGTCATTTTCAAAAACAGAAAGTTTACAGACACACACGTCAGATCAGATCACGTGATGGATGGTCGCTTAAACCACAATTTGATTGGTTAGTTATGACATAACTACAATTAGTTATGGAAATAACTAACATGTACATTTTGTACTATTTTATGCTCGTCCTCTAGTTGTACCTATGACATTGCAGAATCGATGTACATACAGTTGACGAGTCCTTGAAGAAACCGAAACGCGCTTTGTAGGTTACACTGTCAAGTAGTAATCATCTGCACTAATAAACCTTGTAACCTAATAATGACATATACTAAATCGTCCGATCAATAGTTGACTTGACACATTACTAAGAAGGCATATGGTTTCATTGTCGGAATTTCATTCAGTATTTGATAAAAAAATTAACCTTACAGTTAAAAACAGAATATCTTTTTTCCCTGCATTATACTATTACTGTTTAAAATCTATGACAAACTGAATCAAAGACACAATGATACAAAATAACCATTAGCTACAACAGAAAATGTAATTTTTTACCACAGAACTTCAAAATTACGATGATATAAAATCTCTCTTCTCTATTCAATACAATTTTTAATATTCTAATGAAGTAAAAATGATTTTCTTATGAATTAAAAAAAAATAACAACATACAAAGATGCTTTAAACTGAAATTACAATTACAAAGCATACAAATTTGACACCGACAAACTTTATCATTGACAAAAATAAAATAGTACTGTTACACAACTGTTACAATTCTGTCAATTTCAAAAGTGTGTTTTTTTTTTCGCTTAATGAAACATAAGTAAACCAATAGATACTATTCAAGATAATACATTTGTTTGCTTACTATGTTGTACGCAATGATAAAAGTCGATGGAAATAGGCAAATGTATTGTCTACTCGACAAAACTGTTCATAACTATGAATAAACTTAGTTATATTTTTGTTGCCATAAAAATAGAAACATTTTTATAGCGTTAAATTTTCCTCCTAAATTATTTACTGTTGATAAGTAGTGATAAGAAAAATATTACATTATGAGGTTGTGATGATTGTTAAGTTATACATTTCGAAACCATGAATCGATCAGGGTTAGACCACATCTAGAAACTTGGAAGCACTGAAAGATGGCCGTTTCGTCCTGGTAGTGAATATGTTCTTGTCCAGATCACTGACCTCAACACTAGACAGATTAGTAGTTTAGTTGATCGATATTATTATCAAATGTTCAAAAGATGGAAATAAGTTTATGGAATTAGAGATTGTGAATAATGGTGTATTAGTTGTGTGACAAGTTTGGACTGGATACATGATAAACTGTAGCATGAAGTTCAAGTGCTAAGCTCTCACTGTTGATGAATCCAACATGAGGACGTTAGAAAATCATCCAAATACCTCAAAAGACCAGCCCTCACATGAAATCCTCAATGTCAAAAGAAAAGAACAAGTCCAAGGAACATAGCAAATTGAAAGGCAGAGACAGACATGAGTAGAATGAAGAAACATTAGGCAGAATTGGATAAGGAAGCCTGATGTAGTGAAGGAGAACACAGGTGAGGGCAACCGAATTGTATTTAACGAAAATTACAGAGTTACTCAGTAAAATAGGAAAACCATATCGTAACCGTTAATTTGCAAATCTTCAATCCATCATCAATCTATTGTCTGACATTTCACTTATTCATGCGTTTCATACAAATTCCATTGTGTTCCCACTCTTCCTATCTTGATCTTCACCCATCTTCTGCTGCCAGACATTACGTTTACACTCGCGTCATATACTACTTATAAGTAGCGCGCACCACACTGGGACTGAGCAGATCGTAGAATACTTGTCAGTGACTTTTGCTTCGTTTGGGTGTACAGGCATTATTAAGTAAGCAACATTCCAGTCTGATAATCATAAATAAAAAATTTTTTTCAATCAACAACTCTTCAAGATTGTTATTATTGAAAAACTCGTTTCACACTAAGTAAAATAATCATACGTTTTATTGTATAATGCAGTTCTTTTCTAACTTTTAGGATGAGATACTTCATTCAAGCCAATATCTAATTCATATTCGCATCGACATCTATCAATAATTCTTCATCATGACACCTAAAATAACTCAGAACAGCATCAATGCAACTTTACCGACTGAATATCAAATCAATAAACATATCAATCTGCCGGCATTAATTGCTTCAGGTAAATTTTACATTGATGAGTTCGGTTACCTGGTTACATCGAATGGTACACGTTATCGTATACCGTCTGGTCCACCGGAAGGTCGTAAACCGTTACGACTTGATAAATTATCGATCAGTACGAATCAATTATCCACACTGACATTACATCCTTCCATAAATTCCACGAATAAATCTCATGAAACCATTCATATTGAACTACAAGATACAAATCGTTTGATGAATACAAATCAAGAACTAAAACCTACCGAACATCAGTATAATAATCATAATTCTAATAAGACTATTTTACAATCAGCATTCGTCCGACCTTACATCGAGTCAACGAAACTATCATCCACTCTACCAACCATCGGCATGAATCATACATCCTCTTTGAATATCATCAATCCTAATATTGTTCGTTCAGATACATTGTATACCATTGATTGGAATATTATTCTCATAACATTGATTGTTAGTTCTATTTCATTGATGTGTAATATGATTTTGATCATTTTTCTTTCATGGCGATTACATCATCATGAGAAATGCACTAATCCATATAAACAGTTGTATATTTCCAATTATCCTAATGTCAATGAGAAATATATGGAGATGATAGGTAAAGAAAAAGTTAACAAATGTAATCATTTGACTGAAAATCATTTCACAGCTTGTCAGTGTACTTTGTCTAATTTAAGTACAGTTGTCAATTGTCCATGTGTATGTAAACCAATGAAAATGATGAATACAGACAGTACTACTAACAATTGTACTAGTAGTATGATCGATTGCAACACGAAAAATCTCACACATACATGTTGTTTTATAAATAATGATTGTAAAGAATTACATCCTCATATATATGACAATCATAAACGAAGACACAGTCGAACACTACATTCATTTCCTTGCAGTAATAATAGTGATAATAATAATTATACGTACAAATCATCATCACCTCATCATTCACAGCATCATTTATTACTGTGCACTCGTCATCCACGCACAGATATCGATTCATCAGATGAAAGTCATTGGAAAATGAATCCATGCAATGAAATAACCAGTGAATCTAGCGATGAAGATGACAAGTATGCACGGAATTCCAATGTTTTGCATACATCATTGAGAAATTCAAAACATTGGCAACATAAATGTGTTGTACATCGACAAGCGAATTCAAATCAATCCACACCGTATAATTATCTACATGATACTTCAATAAATCAAACATCTGGAATGAATAAATGTTTCAATTGTACAATGATTGAGCCCAATAATGAAGAAGATTATATATGTGATTCAAAATGTTTAGTTATCAAAAATTCTATTTTGACATTACGTCAAAATGTTTACATTTGTTATACATTAGCAATACATTTAGGTATTCTTGGTGTGATATTATCATGTTTACAAATTTTAGCTATATGTATTGCATTAATTCATCGAAGTGTACAACTACAATCAGTTAAAACACAAATGACAAATTATATTTCTCTTACTACTGAATTTCTATGTCTCATTTCAAATTCACTAACATCGGATGCAATATTATGTGCACGATTATATTTAATGACTGTATTTATATGTATTGTATTGATAACACTGTATATAAAATTTATATTGAATATAATAACAACCACATTACATGTTCAATTGCCAAAATTTTCTTTGTATAAAAATTTTTTAATGAAATATGAACAACAATTCCCATCCACTGATCGCCATCACCATCATCATCATCATCATCAACAACGTCGATTTGGTCAACATTATCAACAAAATTTTGCATATATCGCTTTAATGCATTCAATTCCATGGGCATTAGCAGCTGGCACTGCACTTTTGATTGTTTTCACATTGCAAACAAACACTCATCAAAATTCAATAATGACTAATTCAATGTTCAATAAAAGTCGATCAATATCATCAATGGAACAATCAATGAAATCTACTGTGAATATATTATTCAACGGATTGAATTCATTGTTAACTTGTTCCATGAAAAAAACAACTTCCGTGACAAGAGCAACACTATCACCATTGCCAATAACAATGACATCTAGTCAATATGTGAAGTCACATTCAACGGATCATCATGATATCATAACGATCCATTCATCATTGTCTTCTTGGTTATCATCATTTTTACTGTTATTGATTCCATTAATTATACAAATAATCATTATTATACTATTTACAATATTATTGTTTGCAATTACATATTATACAAATTGTAAAACTTTCACCATACATCAATTGAAAACAACACTCAAATCATTTTTTATTATATTTTTTATACTACTCATAGAAATAATCAGCCTATGTACACCAATTGTATATAATGTAATGAGTTCATATTATTCAGAATATAATAAACGATGGATTTTAACCAGTCGAATGATTATGTTACATTTTTCCATTGATCCAATATTAATTATGTGTATATTACAAAAATACTTTAATATTCATGAAATAATGCGGTATTTTGACAAATTTCAATTATCCTATAAGAAAGCAATTGAGAATCCAAAATATTGTTTTCATGATCAACCAATCAAACATTGTGATTCATTAGAGTTTATCAATAATCATGAAATGAAAGTGGTTGAAAATGAAAAACTTCATTTTAGTAATGATAATAATAATAATAATAATATTGGTAAAATGATTTCAACCATGTCATCATCAACGCCAATTCGTCTATTCAGTTGTTTCCCGCTTAATCCGAATTCGTTATCCGTTAATAATGATAATCATAATCATAATAGCCTGATTGATAAACATCGGACATTGAACAGAAACATTGAACACGTTGAATCATTAGTTATGCCGTGTAATGCTGCTTCACCATTTCTATTATCAACAATCAATAATTCAACGGCTATCATGTCCACATTACCAATTAACACAGGTCAGATTGAAGAATCAACTGGAATAATTGGTAATACATTGCATACTATGTATTCAAAGGATATTCGTGATATATCTTCGGTAAAAGATGCATATCTCACTACAATATCAAATAATTTTTTAACTTCAGAATTAGATATCAAAGGAAATAATGCATTATTGACCTATGGAAAAGTATCCAGTGCTTTTCCACAATTATGTCAACATCATGAACGTCTATTGGCACAACACTATGAACAACCAGTAGTTGAAATAACAAAAACTACTACTACTACTACTATTACTACAACCACATTAACAACAATAGCAGAGACAATGAAACGTAATCGTAATTTTGGCAGTGTTCCACGTTTAAAACAAACACATACTGATTTCCATACATTGTTCCCTAGTAGTATACCAAGGATGCTGGAGTCAACAGAACAACAAACATCACACACACTAATGATGGATGATATTAATACTGTACAACCACAAATGATCACTGAAGCAGTTTGTTCACAACAGTATAGATCATTAGCTGGTCAAAGTACAGCAACAGCTGCTGTGATGGCAGCTGCTGCAGCTGCAGTCGCTGCACAAGCCAGTTCTTTGTCGAAAGCAGTCAATTCATCAATAACATTGGATGCATTTGATTTAACTAATCCAACAACATCAAGTCCGTTATTATTTGTAAATGAACAAAAAATTATTGAACCTGTGACATTGAATGATAACAAGTTTTCTGATTCAAAACTGTCAATTAATCACAAAGTAATCAATATAGTTCATCTTGAATGAGACACGATTGTTCAGTTGAATAATTATTATTAGATAGATATTATTTCTGTACATAAATATTTTTGTTCAATAATCTTAATGTGTTTTTTTTTCCCCTTAAATATCAATTCATTGACAAAGCTAATGAATTTGTATTGAAATCACGACCTGCGACAAATAAGATACCCATTGGAAACTTGTGGAACGGAAAAGTGTAGGTGTATCTTGCTAGTATGTGACTATTCAGACGTGAGTCGTGAGGATCAAAAATAACACGAACACTTAGTATCTGCAGCGGTTGATCGATATTTAGTGGTGCGAAAGTTAAAGATTATTCCATTGGCTTTGATGGGTAAATTTCCCACCTCCGACATAGTTGTGCTTTACTGGTGATGGTTTGCAGGAGCTGCAAACTGAAGTGATTTAATTGGAAGCACATTGGAATTTTCAGACTGACACAGTGACGTTTGTTCGGTTGTACTAGAATTATAAAGCGGCCAATGAGAATCTGGAAGCACGAGTTTTCATTGTGTCACAATGTTAGATATACTTTCAGAGACCTCAGACGAAAGGAAAACTTGAGAATCAAAGAATAAAATGCACTAGGAATCCAAGGCAGATATGGAAATTAAAGATTGTGGTTTGAAACAAAGATAGATTAGATTAGAGAATCAAAGTTACTGACATTTGCTTCATGAGTGATAACAGGTGTATCAGTAACTGCTGTTGAGCTCAACAACTATTGAGCAGTTGATGTGTACAGTGAGAACATATGTAGGATGTTTAATTGTCTGACAAAAATGTCAGCCAGTTACAAAGTATGACTTCGTACTTGTGAACATAGGTTCAGACTGCCGACAAGCAGTCGCGACTGACAGCTCCTTGTGATAGCAGAAGTATTATTCGTGACGGAGAAGATATAATTCGAAGGATATACTTTTGTGAGATAATTTTCGAAGGCGAAATATGTAGATGATGAGGAATTCATAAGGTTTGAATTTGAGAGAACGAAATGAATGTAGCTGAATTCGAATCATGCTATAGAAGGTCTTCAATCGCTGATTACTATTGTAACACAGTTATTACGTCCTCCCGAGGTAGCTGAAGGTCGCGTAATACCAACGTAGAGGGGGACGTTTACTTGTTCTTCGTAGGGTAGCAAAGGCGACTGTATATCCACCGAAAGGCGTAGTTCTTGTTCTGATAGTTAAATAGCAGCTGAAAATCCCTCAAACCGACGTGCCGATGTCCAAAAGCTAACATGCATTGAGAAAGCGCCTCATCCCACATCGCGGTTGAGGAACTACTGATGAACGATGGTTTATGGCTTTATTGGTTCTATTTGTTCTTTCGACTTGGCCATGAACTTCTGGGTGGTATGCGGCAGCATGCGTCTTCCTTATTCCTAATAATTTGCATATAACAGCAATGAGATGACTTTCAATGGCCGGGACTAGGTTGGAGTGGAGTGAGAGTGGGTCAAAGGAACGGGATTCGCATTGATAGATGAAAGCCTGTGCGACAGTAGGGGCGTCTTACTGCGGAATGGGTACTGCTTTGCACCAATTGGTGAAATAATCTACCATAATAACATTCAGCGATTCCTTTTCTTGTCGTCGACAACGCTCCCATAATATCAATGTCAACTTGCTGGAGTGGTCAAGTTGTCCTCATCGGCATTAATGGGCCACATGGTGTCTGTTTGGTCGTTTTTATGCGGCAACAAGAGTTAAAGTTTTGGCAAAATTAACCTATATCTTTGTGAATAGATGGCCACCAAATGTACTGGCGAACAGCATATTCAGTTCTTCGTTCTCCAGAATGATCAAGTTCGCCATGAACTTGCTCCACAACACTCTGGATTTTTACTTACTGTACTATCAGCAGTGATTGTCTGAACTCATTAATTAGGAATAGAATGTCTTCATATAATTTTAAGGTGCTCCATTTGTTACAAATACGACGAGTTACAGGGGATTTGTCTGTGAACGCCCTCAACGACGGCTTATTGTCCCTATTTAATAGTCTTTGATAAAGAACCTCTAAATCCGCATCTGCAGCTCGCAGAGAAGTCCAGCCAGTCTTTTCTGCTGTACTCAGAATCGCACCCACGCTATCCGTGGACAGAGGCATGAGAAAGAGGACGTCTGCATGTGTATGTCTATTCCTCGGTCGGTACTCACATGTGAAATAAAGTCCTTCTACGCTTCCTGCCAGCCTGTTACTTGTCCTTTAAGTTCGCGGAAAGAACGGAGCCACTGTAATTGGCACACAAAAAGGTCCACCAAGCAGACAATGACGGAAGTGCTGTTAGATTTTGACTCATGCTAGCATTTCTCGTCGTGTTGTGGAATACCGTGCTTTGCACTTATCTAGTCGTCCACTGGCGTACGTAATGACTCTCTACTGGCCATCTTGAGCTTCTTGTGGTAAAACTGCTTCAGTGGCTGGGGAACTTGCATCCATATTGAGTATGAACCCGCCTCTGTCTGCTGAGGTATCGCCAAAGGCTAATATAGGTGGGGAGGTTAACCGTACCTTCGACGTATCGAATTCCTTTTGACACTAGCTGGTCCATTGAAATTTCCGTCCGTTATGTGTCGGTCTGTGCAAAGTTACTGCTAAGGATGCAAAGTCACGGACAAACGTCTGTATGAGGACGTGAGAATAAGGAAACTGCGAACTTCTTTTGAAATTTTCGAATGCCGCCATATGACAGTGGCACCCGTCTTTTCGGTATATGCACCCACTCCATCTGCGGTGATTTGATGTCCTGAGAGTACTACTTCCTTCTGCAGCAGGCCGCGTTTGGATTGTTTTACTTTTAGATTATGTTGTCTAAGACGCTGAAGAACGGCTTTCAGTTTCGCATATGGTCCCCTGTGAAAATAGTGTGTTGCACTGTATTGGTACGATTTCCAGAAATACATTCCTCGGACAGACACCTGAACTGCTGGAGCAGAGCAATCGTTGCACGACGATCATTTTCTTTTATCGTTCGATTGCTTTGTACGTGACGTGCAAGCTCTGGAATTCCAACGTAGGCTACAGGCTTAGTTGCTCCTTCATACTTGTGTAGGTGTACCGTAGCCTCAGCGATTTTTTATTATGCCCTATCCATAAATATAGAGACTTGATGCTTTAACATGAACTTCTCGCCTAGTGCCATGTCAAAGATTAATGTAAGGCAAACTTAGAACTCATGACGAAACGGATACTTCCCTATCGTTGAGTATAACACTGTCTTATATCACACTTTATGAAGGTCGCCACTAGCTGTTAATAATGCGGAAGAGCATCAATTTTGCTGAGGTTTATTATTAAGTCTCTTTAGAAAAACTTCCTTGATGAGGGATGCCGAAGCTATAATGTCTAACAGTATTTAAATCAACACACTTTGTACTCTCCCTCTGGGGTGATTGTGCAGATATTAAATAACACGTCCAGAAGATAAATAGTGATGACACGGCTCCCCCGGATTACACAATCGGTAAAGACCACAACTCCAAGCGTTCCTGCCAAACCGCCTGAAAGTGTTCTCTTAGTGGGCCGTGCAACAGCCCTTCAGCGAAACGGGAGCGTACCGGCTGATTATTTACAGGTAGGGAACAACAGTCATCTAATATATTCCAGTTTTGAGCTAGTAAGTTGCTTGCTGAGAAGCCTTATGCTCTTATTCTTTTGATTGCACCGTCACTCAAGAACGATACGAGGTAATCGGAATGTTCTGAGGCTGGCAATTTGCGAAGATATGCTACCACTCAATATTTTCAAATGGCACAATCCGACGGATTATCCAAAAGTGTCGGCTGACGAGGACTTGCTCTGTTGTTGCCTTGGCTGGAAGCATCAGGGGTTCGCCTGAGTTTGCTTCGAGTTTTCCAGTGACCACCTCCACCACTAATTATAACACATGTAATCAGCAGTCACTGAAGAGCGGATAAGATATAAAATCACAACACACAAGGTTAGCTTTACACTTCACACGAAGTGTGACGTATCAACACTTCACCCAGTGATCTGGCTTCCTACCTAGAACCTATTTCCTAACAACAAAACTGTCTACTCAGTTGTCCCACGTCACACGAGCAATGCTTTGAAGTCATATATGATCGGAAACCAGCAACTGACGAATATCCTTACTCTTACCGCCATGTTTCGCATCGATGTATTAGGACACATCGCACTGCTGTGCCATAGCAAACTGATATCTCGCCTACACCATAGGTGACGAACACATGCAAAAGTCAATCGGGCTTTCCGCCCAAACGAACACCACATTAATTTATTGATTCTGATGACAGTTTGCCATAAGCTCTGACACGACCTTGGTATTCGAGTACAGAGCTTATGTAAGGTTATTATACTTCTTTGTTATGTCTTTCAACGACAGACACTGAGAAAGAACTTCGCAATCAGCAGAGGCGTCTGAACGTGCGTTTCTTCTAGGTGCCGATATATAGTGAATATTTGGTCTGAACATCCACGTACTTCATGAGACAAAATGTAGTTTCGGAAGTGGAAGTTTGATAATTTTCCGTTGTTCGTGGATCTCATAATCTTTCAGAGTAATACGTCGCCTGGAAATTTAGATTATTACCCAGACAACAGCATTCACAAATGTCGAAATCCAATCGGTCAAAACATTGTATCAGTCGTATCGACACTGTTCAACAGTTCACATCCAGTCGAAATCATCACGCACCGATGTGAAATTGCAATGAGTATCGGATAAACGTTGATTGAGGGATATACTTCACGAAATTGTAACCTAGTCATGCATTAACTACCAGCTTGTCTCATCACTTGTTTATTTTGCGTCAAATTAGAGGAGATTACACTGCAACTTTATGAGCTTGTTCTCAAAATAATACAGTCTGATGACAAGTTACATGAGAATACATTACTTGTAGATTCATTTCATAAGCGATTAGGAAACTTCCATAGCGCTTCCTTCACTGCTATTGTGAATCTGAATAATTCGTTACTCTTCCATATTGTCGGATTCAAAATCACTGCTTTGCAAAGTACTCTTA